CTGTCTGTTGTGAGCCTGGACGCCATCCTTTACTTGGAAGCCTTTCTTAGAAAATGCGTGGGTGTCAAATATTCACAATTTTCTGCAAATCGGATCAGCTTTTGAACTTGTACAGAGCTGGAGAGAATCCTGTGGATGTTTCTTTGAATGATCAAAATCTTTTGTGTAAACTCAGGGTTGCTTAAAGAAGGGAATGCTTGCATCTGGTTCATTTTTTCCATTTCTTTTTAAATGAATAAACTATTTTTAGAGCAGCGTTTTGTTCCCAACAAAGTTGAGCAGGAAGTGCAGATTTTTTATAAAATCCTGTATCCCCACACATGCTCTGCTTCCTGTACTCTTGATAGCTTGCTCCTGAGTGGTACATGTGTACAGTCAGTGAGCCCGCACTGACGTCGTTATCACCCACAGTCTCAGAGTTCACTCTTGCTAGTGTACATTCTGTGGGCTTTTTTTTTTTTTTATTATTTTTGTTGAGAAACAAAGAGCAATGAGACAGTTTCAAAACAGGTTAGTAGGACAGTTACAATAATCAATATATTGCATGTTGTTGTCTTTGTAGTAGTTGTTCATAATACAAGATGCAGACATGATATCCTGTCCAAACACTATTAGTACAAATCTTTCTTCTCATTGAATAAGAGAAAGTAGCTATATATCTATCCTATTTTGTATATACAGATATACATATACATATATATGTATTTCACTACAAAATGGTCCTTCATTCATATTCCCCCTTTATGTTTAGTTTTGTCAGAGATGCGTATTCCCATTGCCATTTAAATATTGTAGGTGCGTGAATTCAACAAAATAATCCAATATAGTCCAGTAGTCCATAATAGTAATGGGCTATCCATAGGACTGGCAATGTCAGAAGTTGTTGACTTGGGCTTTTTACAGCTCAGCATATTAATATGGCTTTACTTTTTATACCTCATTTTTATACTTTTCTGCTGGATGGTAAAGACCAAGATAAAGCAAGATCTACATAACAAGAAATGTAGCTGCATTCTGTGGGCTTTGGCAAATGTATACGTATGATATCCACAGTTACAGTATCCTACAGAATCGTTCACTAATAATCCTCTTTGCTATACTAACTCACCCTTCCTGTCTACCTTTTGGTAACCACTAATCTTTTTTTATTTTTATTTTTATTTTTGTGGTACTGGGGAATGATCTCAGGACCCTCTGTTAGCCAGGCAAGTACTTATTCTACTGAGCTATCTTCCTGTTTCACCACTAATCTTTTTTACTGCCTCCATGATTTTACCTTTCCCAGAAAGTCACACACTTGAAATTCCACAGTGTCCAGCCTTTTTCAATTAGCTTCTTTCACTTAATGTCACACACTTAAGTTTTCTTCATGGCCCATTTCTTTTTGGCACTGAACAATGTTCCATTATCTGGATTTACCACAGTTTACTGACCTATTGAACTTCTGAAGGTGCTAATGGCTTCGGTTCTGGCAATTATGAGTTAAGCTGCTGCTAGACATCCATACACAGGTGTTTGTGTGGCTCTAAGCTGTCAGATCCTTTGAGTAAATCCCAAGGAGTGTGATTGCCGGATCATTTGGTGTGAGTATGCTTAGCCTTGTAAGAGTTCTCACAGCAGGTTTGCAAAGCGTTTGAAGCATCTTACGATCCTAACAGCCGTGAGGAGAATTCTTGCTTCGCATCTTTGTCAGTGCTTCCTGTCAGAACTTCTGTTTTTGGCCCCTCTAATACATCTGAAATAAATAGTCTTACTCTTTATTCTGTCCCTCTTTTTCTTTCATGTTTTCACTTACACTAAGCAGTATTGACCAATGCTTGGTATGCACTTTTATATTTTTGTTGTGTTCATGTCCTTTTGTACTTTTTCTTTACTAATCCTCTCATAAAACAAAATGCTAAAAGAGGGAATAAAACAATGCAAAACTTTGTTATATATGATATTATTATTGACATATATTTATGTTCTTTACACTACTTATTTATTCATATCTTTTGGTGCTGAGGATTGATCCCAGGGCCTAATGCCTGCTAAGCATGTGCTCTACCATGGAGTATTGGTAAGTGTGAAATGTGTACCTTATGGGGCATAACATGATATTTTGATATACAAGTACATTGTGTAAAGGCTAAAGTAGCTGTTTACATGTGTGTTCCTGCATCCATTCATCATTTTTTTGGTGTGTGTAGTGAGAACATTCAAATCTACTCTCTTAGCAATTTTTCTAGTCTGTTACTGTTTGTTTTTGTCTCCAAGTCCTTCCTAGACCACCTGGAAACAGGAGGAGCCATATTCAAATCCCTAAGGTGGCTGCTGCTCAGCTCGCTTAGTCCAGGCATGGAGGTGTCCTGCCATGATGCACACCAGGGGCCTCAGGAGAGCCAGCACCAAGACTGGCATCCATCATTCAAAGCAGTCCCTAAGACATTGCAGACACAGAGGAAGCCCCAAGTCCGTGCTAGGAACACCCAGGGGCTGACCTTTCACTCTTGCTCCTGCATCCCACTCCCGGTTCTGGTCCCATTTCCTCTACGTCTATAGCCAATCTAGAAGGCCCTTTTCTGGGACCATCATATGTTCTACTCTCTGTCCCCAAGAATTCAAGTCACCAAGGAAGCTCTAACATAACCTGGCTCATGGTTGGTACAAGGAACCCGGGACCTGACAGTGGAGGACACTTATTAATTCCTCCTGGGTTCAGGTGTTGAGACCTCGAGAATGAGCCTTAAAAGACACTCATGTGGCCTGCCAAATAGCTCAGTGGATTAAGGTGCCTGAGTTAATGAGGTTTTAGTTTAGAAAAGCGACTCATACGTTAGCATCTTTTTTGTATTAGAAAGAGAAAAACAGATACAGTGGCTGGGGTTCTATCCCTGCCGTGCCATGCCAGCCCTACCCTGGGGAGCACACTGAGACGGTGACTGAGACAGCGTGGCAGCACGCACCTGTAATCCCAGCTCTTTGGGAGGCTAAACGCAGGCAGATCACTACAAATCTGATCTATTTAGTGAGACCCTGAGACCCTGTTGACCCTGTAGACCTTTACTAAAAAAAAAAAAAAAAAAAAAAGACATTCATGGGTCTGTCAAGGACAGACATGTCCTATGCAGGACATCCAGGGTTTTGAAAGGGCTGTAGGCTTGGTACAAAGAGGTAAGACTTCTGGCCCCACACTCCTACCACTGTGCTTTAAGGACCCCAGATGCAGCCCAGAGACACTGGCTCATTCAGGCTGGGGCAGTTACTTGCCTGATCTCAGTGGTGACAGCATGCTGTCAGGCTGTAGGCCATGTGTCTGTGAGTCTGGGCAAATGCAGCCCTGTGTGACTAAGCGTCAGAGTTGACCCAGTGGCTTGGGGCCACTCAACCAGCTGCACCTCACTCTGAAGCCCCATGTTTGAGCGCCTTGCGGAGTTCATGTGTTGCCCTAGCAACGTCACCAGGCTATGGAGCATGCTGATGTGGTTTTCCTCTTGTAGTTACTTGTCTTTCCAAGTCCATCTCATATGCTCTGTCTGCCTTGAACCCGTCACTTCCCATCCCCCATTAGAGGCCCAACCCTCCTTGGATGGTCCTTATTACTTGCCTGGTGGATTATGGCTCCTGCTGTATTGGTCTTCCTGTACTCCCTGTTTCCATGTGGGCTCTCCTGCTGTGCTGGATTCATTGGAGCTGCATGTGGAGCAGATCGCAGAGCTGCTGCCTCCATGAGTTGGGGGTGGGACTCTTTCATGAAGCAGTGCCTCTTTCTTCGCTTAGAGAAGAAGGAGGTTCCCTTATTCCTTGCTGGGCACAGGGCAGACCTTTGGATGGAAGACAAGAGACATTTTAGCCTGCTCCCATAGGAAAACGTAAACTCCAAGACAGGCAGTCAGCAGGGTTCACACTCAGCTGGGAGCAAACTGGGAGGAGTGAGGGCTGCGTCAGGGGCGGGTCAGGAAATCACAGATGGAGCATGCTCCCCCAAGGGATGGGCTGTAATAGTATTTCAGGATGAGACTTTGAATTGTGAATGGGAAGTTCAGGCCTCCCACTGGCTTATGCTGTTAAAACAGCCCTTTGCTTTACCACACCTGAAAGCCTGTTGTGTTCTGTCCTGGTCGCTTGTGGCCTGGGAGCCTGACCCTGCATCCTAGTGCCTCCCCAGCTCTGGTGGGTTATGGTGAGGACCAAGGGGCTTGCTTCCCGGAAACAGTTGGGAAAGTCCCTGCTGCCTCAGCTGGCATCATGGGCTGGCAGCAGAGACTTCCCCTCAGCCCTGTCATGGCTTACCCATATCTTGCCTGGGGGAGCAGGTGTGCAACTCCTGAGTCAAGCCTCACTCCAGCCTCTTTCTAGTGGTGGCCTGGGCCAGGAGAGGGAGGGCACACAATGTTCTTGGCAGGCTCTTGCCTTAGAAGAAGGTGACTTGGACAGTTGCTGGGAAAATAAATTGGCACGATGAAAACAATCCTAGATGATAGCTGCTCTTGAGTTTGTCCTGCACTCAGGACCTTGTCCCAGCCCTTTAAATTTCTGTCTCACTGAAGTCATAGGGTAACTTTGCAAAAAGTAATATCTACATCTCATAGGTAAGGAAATTGAGGCTCAGGGGAGATGACTTTCCAAGGTCATACAGCCAGGAAACAGTGAGGCTGTCTGATGCTGTGAGGTTAATGGTGCCTGATTGCTGGTGGGAGGCTTCCTCTGTGTCTAGTGGCCTGATCATGGGAACTGGCTTTGAGCAATGGATGCCAAGTCTCGCGACCAACCACGTTATGGTCAACCAGGCCAGTCCTTGGCTGAACCTTTCTTTCTAGAGGTTGGGGAAGAGCACTTGACTGATCTTTCTCATCTTCATGATTTCTGACTCCTATGGCACCCTTGAGGAGGAAGGTCTGTAGTATGGTTCCCATTCCCCAGTTGAGGAAACTGATGTAAGTACCTGCTGAGCATCAACTACAAGAGAGAGAAGAGTTGGAGCCCGATCTTCAGCCTTGTGCCTTAGCTGGTGCTTCATTTGCCTTTTTCCCTGTGGGGTAAGACTGCTGAATGGGTGTGGGGGTGACTCACACAGGGCACGTGGGTGGTAGGCGAGGCTTGCCTGGCGCCGAGGGCAGGTAACCCAGCCAGTTCTGCCTCTGCTACCTCATTCCAGTCATTAGCCATCCCCGGGCCTGCGATGAAAGCCTCTCGCCGCCTCAGCCACCGTCCCATTGGGGGGCCTTGGGCCCCAGATATGCGGTGATAGCAGAGCAAGAGCTGTCACCACCACTCTGTACTCCACCAGGTGAGTCCTTGCTACATGGGACAGCCAGCACCGTCCAAGGCCCCTAGAGAGCCCGGAGCATGGACTTGGGGTTCTGTGGGCCTTGTCTGATCTTTGTCCATAAGCTTGCGGGAAGGTGGGGAGAGAGCGAGGTTCCAGCTGGGATAACAAAGCCATGAGCTCTTGGCTGTAGGGCTGTGAGAATGCAGGTTCTAATGAATAGAGGAGCCCTCTGTGTGTCTGGAATCCCTCCTTGGGGTGACAATGGTCTCGTGTCCTCCCTGGGCAGAGATGAGGGTGCTGTTTTCCTCAGGAGGTTGGGGACATATCTTTCCAAGGCACAAATGTCATAGGATTTGAGATTTTCCCTGATGGCTCAGTGCTGGAGAGGTCCTGGGCCAGGCACCTTACAGGTACTGAGGCAGAAACTGAGGAGTCCCTGTGGCCTCCCGGGTGCCCATGATCGATACCCTTTGCATTAGCATGAGAGGCCATTTCATATAGCATGAGGGCTTGGGAAGCACGATATCCAATTCGTGGGGTGTAGAAACTGAACCTGGAGAGAGGGAAGGCAGCTGAGAGCCCGGCAGGTGAGAATGCAGGTCTTATGGGATGATTCAGGAGCTAATTATAGCTGCTGCAGTCCTGACCCTGGTTTTTCTGGCCTTCTTCTGCTCTGGCTACCTGGGACTGTCCACAGTCATGGACTAGGAAAATGGAAGCAGCTAGTGTCATGGACCAGGACTAAGGAGTCCTGAGAGACTGTTCAGCCCATTCCTCAGGAGAGAAATCAGGGATGCTTGGGTGGTGGCGGTGGTGGGGGAGAAGACACATACCTCTGTCCTTTTTTCTCCCTCTTGGCACCCCCAGCCTTTTAGTCCCATCTATTCAGAGGTCTCTTTGGGCTAGAACAGACAGTAAAGGCCACTTGTGGTGCTGTGACTGGATATAGGGAGGGACCTGGGTGCCCCCCTAGGCCCACTCTGTAGGCTCCTCCATCCTTCTGCACTCCAGAGACAGAGCCCTGCCCTGTTCTAATACTTTCTGTGGGGCAGGTGCTATCCCACTTCCAAACCTCTCTCCAATCTGACAACAACTTGCACAGAACACTTCCTCCAGAAGCTTTCCTACTGGAGCAGAGTCAGCAGTAACCACCCCTGTTTCATCCATCCAGCTGGGATTTTATAGGCGGCCTCTTCTTTCCTCTGTTTCTGTTACCCAGGCTGAGGTTGGCCCCTTCACCACAGCCACCTCTTGTCTATTCCTCCTTTCCAGGTCACTCACCCTATAAGGCCAGCTGGTTCCCATCTCCATAACCTCCACAGCAGCCTCCTCCCAGCCCCTAGGCCACTGGTCTCCTCCATGCCCCACATCCGTCCTCCCTGAGGCATCTGTCCCTGTTTAACCCCAAGTCCTCCCTGTTCCCTGCTGCCCTGGATTCAGCTCCTAAGTGGAGCCTCTTACAATGTGATCCAAATTGCTCCCAAGTCATCCCTGATAAGGACTCTGGGATCTCCCACCTGGGAGTTCTCCCATCTTTAGCCTGTCATTTCCTTGCCACTCACTGACCTATCATGACCCCAGGTCTGTGTCCCCATCCAGATTGCCCTTCCTCCTTATAGCAGCCTTTAGAGTTTCCTCTGAGATGTCTTCTCCATCTCCTTGGAAAATATCTCAGTTCCTTTTCCTAGCATCTCTATGCATGTTGGAGTTGAGCTCAGTGCTCAAGCTACTCTGAACACCAGTAAAATAGGTTGAGACCAGGGAATGGTTGTTCTTTGCCTTAGGCTAAGAGACTCAGCTACTTCCTCTAGGCAAGAGGGAGTTCAGCATACAGACAGCACAGGCTGATTATGCTTAGCTTTGGGAAGAGGATGAGAGAGGTGATCATTGTATTAGCTACAGAGATCACCCAGATTTTGAGAAATCTAAAATAGCAGGGGAGCCCAAGGCTGTGTTACTAGAAACATAATGTCTAGAGAAAAGGAGGTCAGACCTGATGTTGAGGTCAAATCTCTGAAAATAGATCCAAACACAAAATCTGAGAGACAGGGGCCAGGGATATAGCTCAGCAGGCATAAGCGCCTGCCTTGCAAGTGCAAGGTCCTGTGTTTGATTCTCGGCACAAAATCTGAGAGACATCAAGAAAGCAGGGCTAGTTCTCAGGATTCCATATGAACATGACTGGGTCAGGGAGATGGTGACTGGTGGAGAGGCTAGGGTTGTGGTGTTCTCTATCTGGATGCTTTGTTGAGTTTTCCTAGGACCAAAGGAGCAGGCAACAAGGAAAACTGCAGGGGGAGTCTCCATGATTGCAGGAATGATTGGCAATCTGGGGACATAGAGAGGAAGCTTTCTGTCTCAGGGGTATGAGCAGTCATTGGGTGGTATCACATAGGGTTCAGAAAGCCCTTGAAACTCCCCCATGCCCTTAATACCTGCCTTGTGATTATGTTACAGCTATGAACGCCCATCCCAGGGAGATGGTGCCCCTCATGGGAAGAAAAGCCAATATCTCTAGTGGGAATCCTGCTGTCCTGACAGAGAAGAGGCCAGCAGAAGTCACCCCCACCAAGAAGAGGTAGGCTGTCATTCTTGGAACCAGAAACTCTGCAGTAAAGGTACAAGAAGTGCCCACTCCAGGATCTTTTCCTTCTGGTGAACCAAGACTCTCAAGTGTCATTTAGGGGTTGCATGGCACCTGATCAGGTCTGACTGAGGAAAAGCCATTGTATAACTGGCCTTTGCAGAGAAGTCTGTAGAATGGAACAGTCAGGGATCTCTTCCCAAAAGGGCCAAGGGGCCCTGAGGTAAGAAGATTCAGAAAGGCTCTTGGAGGAGGCAAGGGATTTCTGGAGTAAAAAGACAAGGAATAAAAAGGTGGTGGAACTCAGTCTCTAGAGTCTGGAGGTTAGATTCTTATCTGGGTATGTTTTCACCCACAGTGACGGTTTTCAGTCTACTATGCACCTGGAAGTTTACTCCAGCTCTCTAATCCACCTGTGTAATGGATACTTGGGGAAAACCCAGTTTGGTCAGTGTACAAGAATCAGCTGCCAAAGGCAGAAGATTCTATGAGACCCAAGAAAGAGGCAGACAGATTCAAGGTTGCACAAAGCATTATTTATTGGGGATTTATGGACAAGAGTGTGTCTCATGAGGCAGCAAGAGAGAAGGATCACAGGGACCAAGCTAGGAGAAGGGAGTTTATATGCTCAGCTAGACAAAGGGGGGCCATGGCCAACTGGAGTATATCTTGCTTTTCTTAAAAATTGTCAACATGTCCAATGTCACTTTAGAAACAGTTCCAGTGTTCATGGCCAGCATAACCCTCTTGGCCGACTATATTAATGACTTTGTTCTCTAGTTCCATGGTCACCAGGTGGGAAAAATAGAGGCTATGGTCAAGATGGTTATAGTCACGTCAAGCTGGGTCCCTACATGGGGACACCAGCAATGGTGCCAATCCACTGGATGATGAATTGGGATTATGTCAACAAAGTGCTTAGCAGAGTGCCTGGCATGTTGTCAGAGCACAGCACATGTTGACATTGGTTGTGTTTTTGTAAACCTTATCATCATCTTTGCTTGATGGGCTCTTGAGACCTAGGCAGGGCTGGGGCGGTTAGTTCCACTGCCAAGCTGGGAATACAGAAGAAGCTGGGATTAGAGAAGGAGCATCTCTGGACTCAGATTTTACTGCTCTTGAGTTGCCTTTGAGGCAGGTCCCTCTCAGATCCCTTGGCTGATTGGGTATCTCCTAGATGAGCCATCTCAGACCAGGGAACCACCTCAGCTGTGTTTCCCTGGGACACTAGTGGACCCCTGGTCTAGAATGACCCATTTGATTGCCTCCCCTGCCATACCTAAGTCTCTCCTTGGGTTGGAGGTAAGCTTATTATTTTCCTTCCTTCCATGTTGTTGGTTCAAGTCATAATCACTGAGGTACTGTGTACCAGCTGTAGGGATGGCTCAGGATGAGGAGTTGAGGATACAAGGAAAAGAATACCCACTTCTTCTTAGTCTGGAGGGGGAGACACACAGGACAGTGTAGGAAGCACATGCAGAGAGGCAAGCAGGGCAGAGTAGGGATTGAGGAGAACAGGTCAGTCTGATCCTGTGGGCAGCCTCAGGCTACTTTGAGCAGAGGTAGTGTTAATTTGGAGATTGATAGGTGGAGAGGGAGGGAAAGGTCTTAGCAGGCAGAGGGACATGGAGAAGAGGCTCAGGCAAGGGCCAGTGAGAAATCTAGGGTGGCTGAAATAGCAGAGTCTTGGAGGTAGATAAGTCCCACTAAGGCTTGAACTTGGGGGATCAGTTAAGGATCTTGGACAATCTGGTGAGGAGAGAGCCATGGAAGGATTTCTCCTGGGAGGGAGGACATGGTGAGATTTGCACTTTAGAGAGGTTACTCTTGGTGATTCATGTGGATGATAGGTTGAAAGGGAGGCTGGGGATAGGGAGATCAAGAAGAGATTGTGACAGGCGGTAAGATCTGTACCTGGGTGGGGAAAGATGGAGAGGAGGAGGTGGATGATCAAAGAAGTATTAGTGTCAAGGGATCTGTTATGGGAGGGAAGGGAGAAAGAAGAAAGAAGAGACACTTTGTTCTGATTCAATGACTTGGAGGGATGATGAGGCACCTCTGATATGGCCCTCAAAGAGGAGAAGGAACCAGGTCAGGAGGAATGAGCCAAGGTCAGGTATGAAATATCGGCTAAAGGTGCTTGTGATATCCAGGTAGATGGTCTATCTTGGAGCACAGGAGAAGGAGAGCTGTGGAGAAATGGAGATGTAACAAGGGGTCAAAGAAGCATGAAAATGCATGGAAGGAGCAGAAATATCCTTGAGTTGGGCCAGCAAGGACCATCTTCCTTGGCTCTCTTCCTAGTTTCCCTCCTCTCCCACTTTCCTAGGGGGATTTAGATATCCTGGCAGGACTGAGGATAGGTTTTGAGGCATCTCAGGTGTTGCTTTGGGGATCCAGACCCTAGTACACAAATCCTGGTAGAACACTTCACATCTAAACTGTAACATTGACCAACTGATTGCCTGACCCAACCAAGGGTATGACTTGCACCTTTTATCTCATAAAGATTGTTTGTGGCCCTCATTTAAAAGTTTGGACATCTCCCAGAGAACTGGTTATAAGAGTTGGACTAAAAAAAAAAAGAGTTGGACTTAGGGAGAAAACAAAAAGTATACATCGTATGCAAAGCAAGAGGGAAATGCTGACCATACTAGGGAACTATGTACTGATGGTGGAATTGAAGACCCTAGCAGGTGTGTGTGTGTGTGTGTGTGTGTGTGTGTGTGTGTGTGTAGATTCATGGACCTGAACCATCATGTCATTCACTGTGAGGTAAAACACAGGGCTAGAGTTACAGAGACTATGACAGAGACTGTGGAGAAGTTGGATTTATAGAACTCAGAACACTTGGGCATTTCTTTGCACAAAACAGGAGGCCAGATAAGCTCTTTCCTAGCCCTAGGGTTGCTTCCCAACTCTGAAGTTATCCATTCAAAGGGACAGAAATGCAGGAAAAAAGGCTTAGTGCTGCCCATACACCTGCGCTAACAACACCCAGGTGACCTAGTATAAAGATAGGCATAAACAATCAGCACCTGCAGTGGTAAGAATCCTGGATGTCACATGGACAAGAACATGCCATGTGCTTATGATAGGGGGTGGAAAGTGGGTGTGAAGGATAAATATGGCAGGCATGGTTCAGGTGCTCTTGGGCTGTAGCTGCTTTGCCCAGCAGTTAGGTCCTTTATTCTCCCTAGTGTTCTCCCAGCCTAGTCTTATCACTGTCCTCACATCCTGTGCCTCTTCCCCAGTGTAGCCCTCCCTGTCCTGTCCAGGAAGATGTTCTCTTGCTTCTTTCTCTGCCTCTGCACTTTTCCAAAACCATAGGCCTATTCAAGACTCAGACTGCATCCTACTGTGGCAAAGCAGGGTCTTCCCCACCTGGTTTCTACAGTGTTCCCTTACCCTAAGCACCTATAGCCCAGTCCCTCTCCAGAAAGGTGGAAGCTGTGATCAAAATGATGTTGGCCCTATTGAGGTCTCTGAGGGTGAACTTCCTGGGATACTCATGTGTTTCTTCCTTGACCCATAAAAAGTGCTCTATCATGAGCATCTGGGTAGGTTCTGAATAAGGGGATAGGTCAATGAAGGAGTAGGTTGGAAGATGAAAGGAGAGGGTGAACTTACAGGCAAGCAGCCCAGCCACCCTACACCTGTAAGGGCATGGCAGGGTGAAATGATGCTTCTCAAATTTCACTGGCTTCAGATGTGGGCTGGATAGATGTGCTCATGACCTGGCTTCTTAGAAGATCCTCTGGAGGTTTCTGTGGTCCCTTATAGGAGGGCTTGAGGAGGAAGGGAGGGGAGGAACTACAAAGGACCCCTTTTCAGCTCCTTGTGCAAGACTGGGCTGAGGAGAAGTGAAAGCTTTTGGAAACTGAGTCCAGTAAGAGTCAAGTGAAAGACGCAGCTTTCCAACAATATTTACAGTTTAGGGTTGTATCAATCTGTGTATTGGTCCTGTCAGCAGATATCTGCATTTATCCACCCCATCTCCCCACCTGACTACTCATTATCCATCCACTCATCCATTTATCTTTCCATCTATCCTTCCATCATCTACTATCCACCCATCCACTCATCTGTCCATCTGTCTGACCAACCAGTCTTCATTCTACTTACTTATCTTTCCCTCATCACCTATCTTCTCATTAATTTGTTCAGTGAAGGCTTCTGACTGTCAGCATCACTGATGGAGAGTCAAGGAGGAATCTAGAGAATCAAGGATGATGCAGTTCTAGTCCCTGCCATTGAGGAATATGGGGCTGAAGATAATATATTATTCCAAGTCAGGAAAGATATGGCCTCAAGGCACTATGGCCCTGGTCTTCCCTAGGGACCAGTTCTGATCAGCCCCCTGGAACAATGGCTTTAACACTGTATCTTCAGCTCCTGGGGCAATGCCCGGCAAACTGTAGGTGTTCAAAAAACACTGAGTAAATGAGCTACTGAGGTACCCAGAAAAGTAAAGTAGGGTGGGGTCTGAGCAGGGGCCAGACCACTGTCTAAGAGAAAAAGCTGTGAATGTAGATTTGGGACCTGTTTGGAGATGATCTGGCAAATCTCAATCACGATGCTTGAGAGTAAGCCTTCAGGAGCTATGTTTGGAGACTGTGTGACAGGCTGCCACAGCAGAGAGGGACCAGCCTTAGGGTGATGATTCTGGGCCACTGCCAGTGTGAAGGGGAGTGGTGATCAGAATGACTGACCTCTGCTGCCCACTTCAACTGGATAGTTCAAAGGTGGATGATCCCATAGCTGTCCTAGCTTTGCAGTCCAGTGTTTAGGAATCATCTGACCTAACAATCACCCATTCAGACAAGGACTCAAAAACAAGAAATGAAAAGTAACTGTCTGCTACTGCCCAGGAGGCAGAGGCAGAGGCAGAGGCAGAGGCAGAGGCATGTTAGAACCTATGCTTTGAGTTCCTAAGCAAAGATTTATACCTCCTTTTGCTTGCTATTTTGGAAGAAGATTTACTTTTAGTTCATGTCAGAAGTTTTTCTCTTTTTTAAAAAATCTTTGTTATTTTAGGGAAAGGTCTACAGGGTGTTCAGGGTCTCACTACTAGATCAGACTCACAGTGATTCTCCTGTTTACAGCCTCCTAAGAGCTGAGATTACAGGTATGCGCCACCACGCCCAGTCTCAATTGCCATCTCAGTGTGCCCTGGGGTTGGGGCCAGCACTGCAGGCCTGGGCGGAAGTTTTTCTTTTGATGGTCAGGAGCCAGAAGATGAAGGCAATGGACTTCTGGCCTGTTTATGGATGAGCTCTGAGGCTTTTAGGCTCATCTGTGCTCGGAGAAGAGGAGGAACCTGCAAGGCTGGCCTGAATCTCTCCTGCCTGCTTCACCCTGAGAAGTGTCTCTATTGGTCAACCTTCCTCTGGAACTAAGCCTTACTGTTGGTTTGGCCAGTAGCAGGCTCAGAGGACTGAGAGCAGAGCAGTGTGGATTGTGAATGGACATGAGCCTCTTACCAATTTATCTTCTATCTGGGGAGACCAGGATGACCATGGATGAGCTGCTTCTCCATATCCAGTCTTAGTTGCCTCATCTACAGAATAGGACCAGCATCCCTTCCTTACTGCCCTCCTTCTGAACTTTATACAGCTAGATTGCATTTGGGGAGCTCTTCCAGGGTCTTAGGAGAAAGGGTGGGTGTATGTTGGTCCTTCTGGGCCTAGGAGAAAAGCAGGCAGTAAAGGTGCTTAAAAGCCCATTGCCTGGACAGAGGCCCCACAACCAGGAGGTCACTGTGCTGGAGAGGTCACAGGGTTGGAGACTGTGCTTCAGCAGTTGCTGCAACTGAGGTCATTCTTAGTGTGATCCTCACTAACCTAGTTGTCACCAGAAGGTCCACGTCTGGGTGTGTGATTACAGTTTCCAAAGTCATGCATGTCTGCATCTGTGGGTGTGTCTACAGGTGGGGCAGGCTGTGACTAGTAGGGAGTCACAGCTCCAGGATGAATCTTAGCTTTCTTGGGGCAGTTTCTCCTTTTGTGAAGCTCAGCCAGGTCACAATGACCCAGCCCCTGGGCTCCAAGGAGAAGCTAACCCCAGGCCCGGCTTCCCCCTCCACTATCTGACATCGTTTCCTGGGCTTTCCTCCTTGATGATGAGTTCTCAGCCCTGTCCTCTGACCTCTCTGGTTCTCCTGCCCTACAGCAGCCTTCTCAGCCCATTTTCTGTTGTGGCAAACACCACAGATGCTGATCAAAGTAGTTGAGAGTGGAGGGGTGGATAGTGCTGGAGCAGCCAGAGTGACTCCCCCAAGAGCTAGAAAGGAACCTGTAGAGTGGTCTAAAGGATTTTTCCTACAGGCCCTCATTTCACACTGTGTTCTGAGGGGCAGCTGAGCAGGAAGGGCATCTAGCTCCTGTTGCTGTCTTGCCATCTTTGAGGAGCCTTTCATACCTAGAGGCAACTGTAGTCCTCAGGTGTTAGACACCTGTACCAGAAGTGACTTTTGGTTCATCCACCCAGTATTTCCAGTGACAGGAATCATTGGTTGAGCATGAACACACAGTGTGGCTGTGACACATCGGTGGCCCAGATCTGAATCTAGGCTCTGCCACATCCCTGTGGGTGGCCTTGGGCAAACTGTTTGACCCCAGAGCCTCCCATGACCAGACTGTGACATGAAAATGAGGACAGTGAGTGAGGGCTGGATGAGGTTTTGGACCCGCTCAGAGCTGGTCGAGAGTGAATGTGCAGTGTGGCTGTGACACACAGGTGGCCAGATCCTGCATCAGCTCTAATGGCCTTGTTTGGGTGTCTTCTCAGTGCTCACTTTTTCCTGGAGATAGAAGGCTTCGAGCCCAACCCCACTGTTGCCAAGACTTCCCCGCCTGTCTTCTCCAAGCCGATGGATTCCAACATCCGACAGTGGTGAGTACTGGCCCTGGCCGAGCTCTCCACTCCAGCATGTGGCCAGGCCTGGCTGGGGTATGCTGCCATTGTCCATCTTAAAATTTGTTGTCCCCATGCCCCCTGCTTCCAGCATCTCTGGTAACTGTGATGACATGGATTCCCCTCAGTCTCCTCAGGATGATGTGACAGAGACCCCGTCCAATCCCAACAGTCCAAGGTGAGTCAGGTCCTTCCCTTCCTCCCCTGGGCCCACTGAGGGGCAGTGTTGGAGGAAAAGGTTCCAGGGACCTATGGGGGAAGGGAAAAAAGAGCCACCATTCCTGAAGTGTTGGGACAAATGGCTGGAGGTTTAGCCCATGTAAAATGATACTTTTGGGCTGGGGAGACAGCTCAGTAGAATAAGCGCTTGCCTGGCAAGTGCAGGGTCCTGAGTTCAACCCCCAGTACCACAAAAAAAAGATACTTTTTCATTATAAAACACTCAAAACCTTCCTCCAGCAACCTATCTTTTGAGGTAATAGCTACGCACAGTTTGGCATATACCTTTCCTGATCATTCCTCTGTATCTCTGGACATATATTTCAATACATGTGATAGCCACTAGACAGAAACAGGAGTCCGATGAGGCAATGGGGAGTCCAGAGCCAGAACATGAATTCAGGGACAGCAGGCATTGTGACAACTGTGTGAGATGCTAGGGGACTGGCTGATGGCCCTGGAGGGTTAGTAACTCTGGTGGGGGAGAGTGGGGTAGTGAGTTAGAAACATTTTCTGGCCTTAGTGCAAACCAGGCCAAGGAGGAGCAGAGGCGGAAAAAGAAGCGGCTAAAGAAACGCATCTTCACGGCTGTTTCTGAGGGCTTCGTGGAGGAGCTGGTAGAGCTGCTGGTGGAACTGCAGGAGCTTTGCAAGCGCCGCCGCGGCCTGGATGTGTCTGGTTAGTGCGTGGTCCTGGGAGCTCATGCAGGCCTGGAGATCCCCACTTGTTTCTACTTGGCTCCTGCTCCATCTCCTGTGGGGTCAGAATGTGAAGACCCTTGAATGCTGGGCTAGTGACCTTGAACTATACTGTGAAGGCAGTGGGGTGTCATGGATGGGTTTAAGCAAGTGAGGGTCATGGCCTGGCTACTGCAGGGACGATGGAGTAAAACTGGAAAAGGCTGCCAGATAAGCAGGATTGAAGTGCTGAATGAAGCAGGCCTAGAAGAAGGGGGTAGAGACCTCTGTAGAGTTCCTCAGGCAGGGTGCTGGCAGGACCCAAGGACATGGGGAAGGAGGGAGGAGTCCCTGGTAAGACCACTTGGATATGGGTAACTTGGTGGGGCCGTGATTGTCCAGGGGACCAGGAGAAGAGCAGGTTGAAAGGAAGAGGATAAGTTTTCAAGGCCACGAAGAGGGAGCAGGCAGGGAGGAGGTGGAGATTCCACGGTGTCAGCACTGAGGGGGACAGTGGGAAGCTGGGTGGTGATGAGACTTCCCCCAAAAGGGAGAAGGTGCAGTGGGTGAGAATCAAAGGCCTCAGGTAGGGCTGTCATGGACACAAAGAAGGAAGAAAGCAGAACCAGAGGAAGAGGAGCCCAGAGAGTGCCGGGCCAGAGGGGACGGAGCAGAACCTTGAGGCTGCGCTCCTACCTCCTCCAGGCTGGGCAGGCCCAGGGTGGTTGGTCAGTGCTGGCTGTGCCTCTATCCTGTCACTTGCCTGCAGACTTCCTCATGCACAAGCTGACAGCATCAGACACGGGGAAGACCTGCCTGATGAAGGCCTTGCTAAACATCAACCCCAACACGAAGGAGATCGTGCACATCCTACTCACCTTTGCAGATGAGAATGACATCCTGGACCAGTTTGTCAATGCTGAGTACACCGAGGAGGCCTATGAAGGTACCCTGCCCACAGGGGCTGCAGATGGGTGTCTCTAGGGTTCTCATGGCCAGTGACAGCTATGTCACACAGAGGATTTGCTGCCAACAGGAAGCCCCAGCACACAGCCTAGTGTGGGCAGGCAGCAGGTACTCCTCTTGTTCTTTCTTATTTCTGAAAATGGTTGGATGCTCTGGCTGCATGCTAGGCATCGGTACTAGGTTACAATAGGAAACAAATCAGATTTAGGCCGCTGCTCTAAATAAAGTAATTTTATTTTATTTTTATTATTATTATTATTTTTTGTATTTAGGACAGGGTATACAGGGTCTCACTGCATAGATCGGACTCTTAGTTATCTTCCTGTTTACAGCCTCCCAAAGTGCTGGAATTACAGGTGCATACCACCATGTCCAGGCCCAGTCTCAGTCGCCCTCTCAGTGCACCTCCAGGGTAGGGCCGGTGCGGTAGGCCAGGGGAATCGAATTCCCAGGCCCTGCGTTTGCCTAAGCAGGTGCTTTAATCCACTGAGCTTAAATAAGGTAGTTTTAGACAAAAAACTATATGAAAGTAAAATAAAATAAAGAAGGTAGCTGGGCAGAAAAAACAGGCTGGGTAACTGTGGAGTGGATGGACAGAGAGGTATCTTGACCTGCAGGATGAGGCGGATCTAGAGCAGAACAAGGGCAGGAGCCTTGAAGTAGGAATGAGCCTGGCATGTTCCAGCCATGGAAAGGAGGCTGGAGACCCAGGCAAGGCCAACAGAAGGCCTCTAGTCACATGAATGTCACCATCACTATCTCTCTTTCTCTCTCTCTCTTTTTTCTTTTTTTTGAGCCAGGGATTGAACTCAGGCCCTTCCACTTGCCAGGCAAGCACTTATTCTACTAAGCAATCTCCTCAGCCCCCTGAGCTATCTCCCTGGGCCTAACTGTCTCTTTTTGGGTCTCAGTTTTGTGGCTTCCATTGTAAGTGGGCCATGGAGACAAAATTTGGGCCAAGACTGGGGACATAGCTCAGTGGAAGAGAGCTGGCCTAGTCTAGCATGCATAAGGCCCTGGCTTTGATTCCTAGCACTGAAATAAGAAAAAAAAAAGAAAGAAAGAAAGAAAAAGAAAATATTCATGATAGAGTGAGTAAGATATGTGCTCATTGTGCTCCTCTGAGGTTTTAGAGTCAGTAACTGCCCATTAAGGTTATGTACTGTTGGCAGAAATAATGTCTCCTGATTGGCCATCCTGCTGATGTGCCAGGGTCCACTAAATCTTGCAGTTTTTCCAGGTGGATGTTGAGATTGGGCCCTTGACCCTTCTCATGGGACAAAACAATGTAGATTTACTGTTTGAACTCTGCAGACTTTCAAATGGAATTTTGTCAAATATAATACAAATGCAAAGATTGTGATAGTCTAGAAGCAATGGAGAAAGGGAGAAGAAATGCAGAAAAGATTGCTGTGATTGACTGCTGAATGCATACAGGGCTGCCTGGCAGTCAAAGCAAAGATCAAAACTGAATGAGTCATAAATTGTTCTTAGCTTGTCACAAGGGAGTTGACAGTAGTCCTATAGACAGCAAGGTGTCAGACCAGTGTTTCAAGCTTGCTTGTCATGATTCTATCCCCTTTACAGTCCCCTTGTGTTCCTTCCTTCTTGTCAGCACTACAGGAACCTACTGACTCCCTTCTCCTGGCAGTGACCCCCCACTTTTTATGGATCCAGGGTCTTACCCTGTGTACAGGCTGGCCTTGAACTCACTGTGTAGCTCAGGTTGGTTTGAACTCATGGTGATCCTCTTGCCTTGGCTTCCTGAGTGCTGGGATTACAAGCTTACACCACTACTGCCAGCTTGGTAGGCTCCTTTTGAGGACTTCCTCATGCACAAGCTGACAGCATCAGACACGGGGAAGACCTGCCTGATGAAGGCCTTGCTAAACATCAACCCCAACACGAAGGAGATAGTGCATATCCTACAGGGATTCTTGGATGTCCTCAAGGACAGGGTGGTGTGAAGATAGTCTGCTGCCCAGAGTTGGTTCACCAGTGCTCTTAGGGTCTCACCTCTGAGAACTGAATATTTTTTTTTTTTTGAGTGAATGAATGGAAGTTTTGTATTTTTAAAAATTTTTTGGTACCAGAAATCGAACTCAGGACCTCACACTTGCTGTGCCACTGAGCTATCTCTCCAGCAGAATGGAAGTTATTAGGGTCTCTGTTAAGGCTTTGCTGTTCTGGCCTCAGATCCTTACCTCTCTTCTTCTTCGTCTCCCCTGACCCTTCCTTCTTTCTCAAATATTTTGTCTGTGGGCTTGGAGGGGGCTATGGACCACCTGGTCTCTGCGGAGGGGAGGAGAAGCAGTTACTTCTGTCTTTCGGCAAACCCACCTTATGGCCACCAATTTGCCACTGATGTTATTACAGTCGGTATTTTAGGCAGTCCCCATCCCCGGGGCTGGGTGTCACCAGGGCCGGGCTCTAAGTGATGGCCCCGCACATCTCTGTTGTGTTCGCAGGACAGACGGCTCTCAACATCGCCATCGAGCGGCGCCAGGGAGACATCGCCGCTGTGCTCATTGCCGCGGGGGCCGACGTGAACGCCCACGCCAAGGGGGTCTTCTTCAACCCCAAGTACCAGCACGAAGGCTTCTACTTTGGTGGGTGCCGTCCCAGTTTGCGCGGCTATGGGAGGCCGGAATGCGGAAGGGGGAAGGGGAGGAAGGGCTCCCTCTGCGCTCTGTGACAGCTCGGGTATCTGCCCCAAGCGCCGCTGGTGGGCTGGACAGCCAGCTCCTTTGCGGAGGTCCGAGGCCTCGGAGCACAGAACCTGATTAGGAAGCAGTTGGGGCCGATCTGAGCAGGACCCTAGGGCCGATCGACCAGAGTGGAGTTGGGAAGGTAGTGTAGGATGCTGGGTGTCACCTCATCCTCAGAGGGAGTGGGGACATCCACCTGGGCTGCAGCCTGTAGGGAACAAAAACCTGGGAAGGAATCCAGCGGGCAGCCCCGCTTTATGGGTTTACGGGGGGTAGGGCCGTTTTGGAGGGGAGACGACCTGCTTTGCCTAGTGAGGCCTTGGTGTAGGAGAAGGTCTTGGCTTCCGGTTCTGGCCTTTCAGGATTGCGAATGGGGAGTCACAGGTGAGAGCAAAATTTGAGCTCACAAATTGGGGAGCTCCAAAGTAATTGGGGTTAGACTTGTCAACTTAAAGTAAAAACAACAGCAACAACAAAACCCCCAAAAAACACAAACAAAAAACCCCCAAAACAAAACAAATAACACCAAACAACAACGACAAATCTCAGGGTCTCCAAAAAGTGCTGATGCTTGTTTGAGAAGAGCAAGGCTTTGCAATGGAAATAGCAGACAGAGCACTGTAATGGCCATGCCAGGCCTTAGCTGACTAAGGGGGTATTCACAGGCCGGGGAAAGCCCAAGTTTTTCAAGACAATGACAAGGAGGGTTACCTCAGATATTTTGGAACACTATTCTTTGACTTTAATAATTAATAACAAGAGCAGAGTCAGTCCCGGGTAAACAGAAGGCAAGTCTTGGGCAGATGTCCTTCTGAAGTACTTTTCGCATAAGGTCACTGTGTCCCCTGTGCAACTTGTGGTCCTGTTGCTGGTAGTTACCTGCGGAGACTTCATACACAAAAGCCCTTCTTTCTCAGCCTCCTTGCTTCATCTATTTTTTGGTTCTTTTTCTTGATGGCATTGACACAAGTGATTCCATTTTGATTCTGACAAGGGTCACATTTCTTTCATAGATGCTCTGCTTGCAAAAAAAAAAAAAAAAAGTCGAAATGTACAATTTTGATTTGGTGAAATTCACCTGCTTTGGTGTATAGCTGTTATTTTCACAAATGCTCAGAGTTATGTGACCACCACAAGACCACCAGGGGCTCCGTTAGGCCACAGCATTTCTCCAAGCAATTTATCTGCAAACCCCTTTCTCCCACCCCAGCCGTTGTCCAGGAGCACTGATTTGTTTTCTTCTCTGGGTGGCTTTTTAATCAATAGGACTAGGTGAGTCTCACATCCTGGAGAACAGGGTGGGATAAAGAGAGGGACCAGGAGGGAAGTAGGAGCCCTGACATGCAGTCCCAGTGCTGTGTGACACTGAGGAATCACTTGCCTTCTCTTTTCTTAGCAAAAACATAATGAGAGTCTACTGTCTGGCTCAGGTCCTGTTCTAGGTGCTTGAAATACGTGAGCAAACAAAACAAAGATCTCTGTCTCAGTGGGACTTATATTCTAGGTGTGGAGAAAGACTATCAATAATAAACATTATAAATAAGCATTTATAGACTATGTTAGAAAAAAAAAAGGGGAGTGCTATTGAAAAACACACAAAGTAAAACAGAAGAGGAAACATAAATTCTGTCTGGAGCTGGAGGGAGGTAGATTTTCAACTTTAAATAAAGTGACTAAGGTGATAGTTGAACACAGAATGGAAAGAAGTGAAAGAGTAGGCACTGGGATGCAGATACAGCGAGGAAGAGGGGACAGCCTGTGCAGAGGCCACTGTCACCAGTGCGTGCAGGATGTTGCTCCTTTCAAAAACATACCAAACTAACCACAAGATGGCGAAGTGCTCAGCCTTATTTGTGGAGCAGGAAGAAGGCCACTGAAGGGGAGGGAGGAAGAAAAGACGGGAGTTAGGAGACACAAGGCTTCAAGTGCATTTTGGAGGTTGAGCTTCTATGCTGCTTAAGGCTGAACATGTCAACAGGCTCTGTCTGGCTGCTGCACTGAGCACAAAGGGATGGAGAACCAGGGGACAGGGATCAAGGGCCAGTTAGGCAGCTCTTGCAAGGATCTAGGTTGGCTTTCCTTGAGACAAAGAACAGATGAGAAAGTCAGAGAATGTTAGGAGTAGTGCCCATGACGTGGTTAGGGTATGGGCTCTTGTCCTAGGGTCTGGGGGCCACTGCTTCTGGCCCATAAGAGGACTGAGCCCTAGAGCTCCATTTTTTCCAGGTGAGACACCCCTGGCCCTGGCAGCATGCACCAATCAGCCTGAGATTGTGCAGCTTCTGATGGAGAACGAGCAGACAGACATCACTTCGCAGGACTCCCGGGGAAACAACATTCTGCATGCACTGGTGACGGTGGCTGAGGACTTCAGGACCCAGAATGACTTCGTGAAGCACATGTATGACATGATCCTGCTACGGAGTGGCAACTGGGAGCTGGAGACCATGCGCAACAACGACGGCCTCACACCGCTGCAGCTGGCTGCCAAGATGGGCAAAGCTGAGGTGGGCCATGGCTGCAGGTGGCGGGAGACTGGGGAGGCACAGCCGTCCCTCTGCCAGGTCTAGGGCCTTTCTGAGGATCCCTTAGTCCACAGCCTGATGGAACTGGGAAAGTTTTATCCTCAGGTCTAGAATGCAGTTGTGGCCCAAGGCAGGTTTCTGAGTGATCACACAGAGCAAGGGAAGGGCTGCTGTGGGCCCTCACTCTGGAGTTTGATCCCATGCTCTGTGGTTTTAACTCTTGTCCTGGGACTTCCTCTGTGGTTCTAGATTGGGAGAGCCCTGAGGCTGAGGTGATACACATTTCACATGCTTTGCTGCTGAGCATTCCTGCATGGTGAGGCAACCACCCAACCTCTACTTGGGTGTCTGGCCCTTGAGCTTTTTGGCCCCTTATGAGGACAGGAGTTCTTCATAGCTGTTCTGGATCCAGAGCCAGTGGGTTGATGCTCTGAGATTATGGAGAGATCTCAGTCTGTGGGTCAAGGCAGAGTTTTGAAGCACAATATTCCTAGCAGAGTGTGCCTTTGTTGTTGTTTTGTTTTATTATTTGAGACCAGGGGCTTGCTCTGAAGTTCAGGCTGGCTTTGAACTCGCCATAATCTTTCTGCCTCAGTCTCTCAAATACTAGGATTACAGGGGTGCACCACAATGCTGGGCCCTTTGTGCTAAAGAACTCAAGGTTGAGCTGAGAGCTCAGAGCTCCAATTCTTGGAGAAGACTTGGGCTGTTCTGGGCTCAGATTTTTATCAGTGACTGGAGCTGTGTCTTGATCTGAGATCCAAGTTAAGGCTCACATTCTTCTCAGGGAATGAATCCAGAGGTCTGAGCCTCTTCTGTTGTCCCCAAGCCTGGGAGGGGACTGTGACTCTGGGAAGGCTGCAGAGAACACTGTGAACCCATCCATCTCCCAAGCCAGCTGCCCTGAGGCCTTTGCGTCTATCCCAGTGGCCAGGGCTGGGTACCACAAGGGACCTTCTTATTCTCTTGTGGGGGAGGAGCAGTTAGAGAATAGCTTGAACAGGGATGGAATTGTGTGCCTGCCTACTCTCCCCTCCCCTCTACCCCCAGGTCATAGCTTTCTGTGGCTTTGAGGCAAGTCAGATGGCAACTGTGGCTTCATCTCTGCCTGTCACTGTGATGTGTACTCTCCCTGCCTCTCCAGCCCAGGGAGGAGGCTCCCTCTATAGAGATGGCCCAGGATCCCAACCCCTACTCAGTGCCTGACAATTCTTCCTCTTCCTGCCCCCAGATCCTGAAGTACATCCTTAGTCGTGAGATCAAGGAGAAGCCTCTCCGGAGCCTGTCCAGGAAGTTCACAGATTGGGCGTACGGACCTGTGTCATCCTCACTCTATGACCTCACCAATGTGGATACCACAACAGACAACTCTGTGCTGGAAATTATTGTCTACAACACCAACATTGATGTGGGTCCTGTGGGTGGGCCTGGAGGGTGGGGAGCAAGGGCTGGACATCAGGCCAGGGGCTCAGGGGGTACTGGAAGGACCAGATTCAGCCAGCTTGCCAGTGTCTGTATAACCCTGGTCCTTTGTCTCACTGACAGAGCCAGGCACAGGAAAGTCAGAATCTGGGGCTGATGCTGGGCAACCTCAGATTGTAGACCCTAGTGTTAGGGGGATTCTGGGGCCACAGAATCTTGGGCAGTTTGGGTGTGCATGAGGGGTGGATGGTGTTGATCATCTCCACCTTATTTCTCTCCCACTCCCCCTGCCAGTTTGTACAGCCTGATTTGGAATCCTTTCTTCTCTTAGCTCTAGTTCCACATGAAGGGCATGGTGTACACAGTTGAAGATTTCAAGGGCCTTCCTGGAGGAGGCTGGAGAGAGGAGCTAGTAAAGTTGGAGGTGAAGAGAAAGGGCCAACTCCGAGATTTTCAGCTTTTGGGTAAAGTGAGGAAGCAGGCTGGGTCTTCAGTCTTCTTATCTTACCAACAATTCTGCTTGCCCAAGCCTGCCTCTGCCAGGGTCTCCCTGGGCCCTCACAGCAGCCTGGTTGGGAGGGCAGGGATTTTTTAGATGAGTTTTTATAGATGAGGATTCTGAGGCCTAGAGAGGATTAGGGGCTCTCCTGAGGTCACACAGGGAATTGAGACAATTTGGGACTGGAACCCTTTCTTAGTCCTCACTGTGCATTAGGTTCTCCTACTGGAAATCCCAGCCTCTTGGGGTATTTGGCTGCTGCGGGCATACACTGGAAGGAGCCCTAGGAGCTGCAAATTACCCTCCCAACATTTCCAGCTAAACCAGTCCATAGCACATCATGACTGGGCCTGTTCTGCCAGGGGCCCCAGTGACTCAGAGCTCTTTTGGAAATGGCCTCTCCCTACCTCACTTATCTCCATGGTGACTGGTGGCATTCTACCCCCCAGAACCGGCATGAGATGCTGACCCTGGAGCCACTGCACACACTGCTGCATATGAAGTGGAAGAAGTTTGCCAAGTACATGTTCTACTTGTCCTTTTGTTTCTATTTCTTCTACAACATCACCCTGACTCTCGTCTCTTACTACCGTCCCCGGGAGCCAGAGGTATGTGGGTTGTGGGGGCAGATGGAGAGGTTAAAGCTGCAAGAACTTAAAGCTGCCCCATTTGTAGATGAGGAAACTCAGGCTCAGAGGGGCCAAGAAATTCTCATGAAATGCCTCCCCAAAGCCCCCAGCAGTGTTGGCAAAGCAGGGAAGAGTGGGAGCTAGTCCTACTCTCTTTCAGAATTTCTGGGGAGCTGAACACATCTTTGGAAGTTAGTTGGGGTGGGCTCTATGTGCACAGCCCCAGGCTGACTCAGGTTGAAGGGGGAGTTGAAGAATGAGGAACTCCAAGTCCTGCCAGGTTTTCTGTCTGGCTCTAGAAAGGACTGGGTGTTTCTGCTGTGAGGGCTACAGGAAGTGTGTGTGTGTGTGTGTGTGTGTGTGTGTGTGTGTGTGTCTGTGTCTGTGTCTGTGTGTGTGTGTTGGAGGGTAGGGTTAGTTGGCCAACTTCCCCAGAACTTTGGGCCTTAGTTTCCCATCTGCCACTGGGGACACAGTCTGGACTTCATTTACCTTGCTAGGAGGCCCTGTTGAGTGACTGGTGAAGTGTAGTTCTGGGAGGGACAATGAAATGGAGCATGTGGGGCTCTTAGCACAGAGTGTCCTGATCTCTTGACCATTGAGTCCCGATTCCCACTGAGGAAAAGGGTAGGGATGTGTACCTTTTCTTGCCCTCCATGGAGATAGGACTTCATGCTGGCTCTGATTCTGCTTGAGGTTTTGGCATGTGTATACATCATGGCCACTCCAGAGGGACCCTGCCCTTCCTGCTGACTCTCATGTTCACCTTCCTCCTTTCTCCCTTCTCTCCCAGGACCTCCCACACCCATTGGCCCTGTCACACAACATGGGGTGGCTGCAGCTCTTAGGAAGGATGTTTGTTCTCATCTGGGCGACATGCATCTCTGTGAAAGAGGTGAGTGGGCATCTGAGTCCTTCCAGACTGCCCTGTGAGGCAGGCAGGGTGAGGGCAGGTCTGGCACCCACCCTACCCTGTTCTGCCAACATTACTCGGGCTTTGGGGAGGCATTTTATTTCTAAACCTTAGATTTCTGAGTTATAACACAGGAGAAAATGAGAAAGGAGGGTCTGTCCTCGTGACCTCACCCCCTCCACAATCAGCCAACTGTTTACTAGTTGTACTTCTAGCCACTTCCTGTTCATACTCCTCAACATTGTCCACTGATGTGGCCACCTGCATTCTCATATCCACCCATTCATCCATTCAAATATCCATGTAACCCTACTTACCATTCTTCCATGCTTTATCCAACCATTTTCTATCTATCCATCTGTCCATTCATCCATTCATCCATCTATCCTTAATCTGTCAATTCAACCAATCAACCCGTGAATTAACTGGCGCATTATGAACACCCACTACACATGAGGCTCTGGAGGAGGTGATAGGGATGAAGGAAGTTTTCCCTCTTTGAGTCCTCTATCTGATAGGGTTGTTACATGGGCACAAACGTCTAGACTTTAAGATAGATTTTGCAAAGGTCCCAGTGGTCAGAGGAAGGCAGATAACTTCTATCTGGGAGTAAGGGAGGGAAGAAAACCTTGAAGATAGAAATGGCACTTTCTCTGATAGTGTAGGCTGGATATGAAGGTATTGGGGATAAAGAACAGTATGCACAGAAAATTTGGCCATATTAGGGAAATGGTATCTGTAACTGTAGTGATTGATTTTTGTAGTGATTGGTTTGAGGATGGGGATGAAGAATTAGAGAGGTAAGAAGACTTGAGGGAGCATCCACCTTGACTGTGGGTCACCTCTGTTTTCTGGGCACAGGTTCCTTCCTTCCCCTGGGCTCTGGCTAGGCTTTCCCATACTCACCCTGCCACTGCTGAATCTCAGCCCGGGAAACACCCCCTTGCCAGAGCTTCAGAAGAGAGGCAGGGAGAGGGTGAAGCTTTCCTTTCCTTTCTGACCTTAGGGAATTGCAATCTTCCTGCTGAGACCCTCAGATCTGCAGTCCATCCTGTCAGATGCCTGGTTTCACTTTGTCTTGTAAGTAGGTATATCCCTTTGGTCACTACCTCACACCCCAGGCCAGAGTTCTCCTTTGTGGCTGTTATATCCATTTGGAACATCCCCCCCTCCCCCCGTAAAAGAGGCACATAGATACCTGTGGAAAGGACCAGAACTCCCAGGACAGTGCCCAGTGTCTGGTGGCAGTGATGGCTGACTCTACCTTGTCACAGAGCCCCAAGAACATGGGACAGTCATGAAAAGGGTTAGCAGTCCTGTTGATTTTTTTTTTTTTTTTTTAACAAAGCAATGTTCCAGAGCAGACTTTCCTAGTTACACAGGGCCTGAAAAGTCACCCAGTCTCATGATGGTTCAGGGGTGTGGAACACCCAGCCTGTTGATCGCCCTCATTCCCAACTCATGCAGGTCTAGTGGCCCCAGCCATAAAGCCCAGGTGTGAATGAGGTCATGTGAAGCTGTCTACAAAGTCTCATATGGCCTCCATCTTGAAGTCAACAGAGGCTGATTCAGCTTTACTGCTGTGGTAATGGACTAAGATCTGCAGCTTGGGATGCAGAATGCTGGGTATCTCTCCTCTGAGCATGTAGGAAGCCGGTCAATGGACTGAGTCTTGGCTTGATGACTCCAAATGTCCAGATGTTTCATTAAGCATGTACCTGTCTTCCAGATACATGAGCAATTCTTCATCCCTGTGGGCAGGCAGGACACCCAGGTATTCAAGTGAGTTTTGACACTGTCCCAGGATGTAAGACACATAGGCAACTGTCACCCTTGAGGAAGTATGATGATTCCAGAGAAAAATCTATTTCTATATGCAGTGGCTTCAGTGTATTGTCCTGCTCTTTTGCTTCTCATTTACTTTGCTAAGGTGGAAGAAGTGGGTAATATCCTTCCTCCTTTCAGTCCCAAATGTAGTTGATCAATCAGATGTTTGTTCTTCACTGCACCAGAAAAACAAGCTTGCTTGTGTCCTACTTTTGATTTGTTCATAACTGTGGAAACTTCTTGATGTTATAAGCAAGAGTGTTTTTAATGGGATGTCTACTTAAGTGGGAGTGTGTGCACTAGTTAGGAGCATGTTTTGATCTTGCATCTTTGGTATATGTTGTATTTTAAAAGTTTAATTATAGCCAAATATAGAGAACATAAAAGTTACCATCCTGACCATTTTAAAGTGTATATCTCAAAGCTCTGGAGTTCATTGATAATCTCCAGGATGCTTTTGATCTTATAAAACAGACACTCTGTACTTAGAAAACTCCTGATTCTTCTCTGGTAACCAACAATATACTTTCTGTCTCTATGTGTTTGATTACCCTGGCTATCATATCAATAGAGTCACATAGTATTCATCTTTTTTGTGATTGGCTTATTTCATTAAGCCTTTCTAACTTTAAAATTTATTTTTTATTTTATTTTGAAGAGCAAATACTAAAGCAAAGACAAATAGCAGATACAACAATACATATGTTATAGCTTTTCAAAGCAAGAGTAGCAAATTAACAATGGTTGTTACATTAAGTATTTTTATTGTCAAAATCTGTTGCTCAGATTAACAGATATAGTTATGCAAGATTGGGCAAATGATTGAGCATTAACTCTTGCTTTCAATAAAACAATTTTTTCTTGTCTTTTTTACTTTTTAAAAAAATTGTTTTAAAGAGAGTGTAATAATAATTAAGACAAACACATACCTGTTTTTTAAAGCTGAAAAAGAGTAGGATTTGAGGGGCTCTTATTTTATTTTTTATTTTTGATACTCTTATTTTAAAGGGCATTAAGTGTAAATATTGGCAGCTTTTGTTATTTTTGGTTACAAATACTGTCACTCATCACATCCTCAGTCTGCCTCAGTAGCTAGCTCCCCAGTGTAGGCAAGAAACATGTGTCTTATGGGTGATTTAAAGAGTGTTTATGGCCTCCTGGGTGGCATGCCAGAATTGGCTAGAGTCCTCGATCTGTATTTTTTTTTAAAAAGTACCTTTTTTTTTTTTTTGCGGAACCAGGGATTGAACTCAGGCCCTTACGCTTGCCAGGGAAGCGCTTATTCCAGTGAGCCATCTCCCCGGCCCCCTATTTTTAAAATATATTCTAATTTTTAAATGTTTTTTTTATCATATTCTGTAGGGACTTAAAGTTCAACATATCAAAAAAAAAGTTCAACATATCAGTACTCAATGAAAAATACCTGTTCCATATTATGCCTAAGATGTTTGATATGCAGACAGATAGTGAGGTTAAGCTTAACAGCCTAAGTTGTATGGTAATAGCAATAAGCTTGTCTTCTGGATGGTTAACAACCTAAGATTGCAGACCAAAATTAGAGAAAAAGGAGGGCTGCAAGGAAAGCCAACATTTTGGCCCTAGCCTTCCAAGGTCAATTAAGACTCAGGACATATGAGAACCTGTACTGTAACGTCATGTAACTCAGTAGTGTCCCAAATTTTCTGATCGAGGAGATTATGGGGCCAAAGAGGAAAGTGATCAGTGATGTAGAGTGTGCCTAAGGAGAGTCACTTGGAGAGAAAACATTCTCTCAGGCTTTCACAGAGAGCACATTGGCCAAACAATGGCTGTGACTCATCCACATGGCTGACACTGACTAAGGTTCTACAATCTGAGGTACAGGATCTCAGGATAAATCCTGAGGGGATTTCACTGACCTTATCAGACCCAAAAGCTACAACTCTTGTTGCATAGGTCCTGCTTTACCTTGGTCTTAACCATCCAGCAGAAAAGTATAAAAACAAAATATAAGAAGTAAAGCCATGCTGTTATGTTGAGCTGTGGGGGACTCAGGTCAACAATTTCTGACATTGCCAGCGAAGTGGAAGACCAATACTATTATGGGCTACTGGACTCTTTTAGAATATTTTATTGAGTTTATACACCTATAATATTTAAATAACGAAACTTAACAAAAAAAGGGTATACAGATGAATGTCCATTTTGTATCTGTGTATTCAAAGTGGTTAGGATAGATATATAGTTACATTCTCTTAATGAATAGAGTGATTTGTTCTAATAGTGTTTGTAAATAGGATATCATGTCCACATCTCGTACAGCAATTAACCACTAGGAAGAATGTATGCAATGTGGGAATTATTGAAACTGTCCTACCAATTTGATTTGAAACTGTCTCATTGCTATTTGTTTATCAATAAAATTATGGGGAAAAAAAGTACTAATCAGCTTCAACCAGCTAACGTATGGCCTCAACTCCTGACTGGTGTTGTCAGCTACAAGGCTGGAGCTCAGATGTAGTCGGACGGTTCTGAGGCAGCCCTCAGCATCCCATCAGAATCAGTCACCAGAGTGACTATCAGGGGTTAAAGTTTGTGGAATCTGAATGTCTGTGCCCTGCTGCTGAGAAGTAAGGTCTGTCTCCTGTGTCTCCTGAACAGTTTTATCCAAGCTGTGCTTGTGATACTGTCTGTCTTCTTGTACTTGTTTGCCTACAAAGAGTACCTCGCCTTCCTTGTGCTGGCCATGGCCCTGGGCTGGGCGAACATGCTCTACTACACGCGTGGCTTCCAGTCCATGGGCATGTACAGCGTCATGATCCAGAAGGTGTGTGGGCTGTGCCTGGGGGTGGGCTGGGTCACGGGGGTGGGGGTGTGAACTGAGGTCTGGAGAGGAAAAGGAGCTTAAGAAAGTGCAGCTCACTGCTCTTTCTTCTGAATGCCACAGTCTCCTTTTGCTTTTGGGAAGACTGTATGTGTTTAAGCCTTAGAATGCTCATGCTTGCTGAACACTGGGAAGGAATACACTTTGTGAAAAAGTGTTCTCACCTCTGGACAGTGGTGTGCTGGAAAAGGTTTAACAATTGTTCTCTGGCTATAAATATTTATATCTGTGTGCATGCATACATGGACATAGTGTGTATGCAGACATACACACAGACAAGTAAATTGTATATAAATGTACAGACATGCATTTATCAGAAATGATAAAATTATGAATTTTACTTACAAAGGACATGCAACATAAAATTTACAAATAATAATAAAATATGCAATCCACTTTATTGTTAATTCCACATAACCTGCTGAGTCTCACAGAATACCTTGTTGCTTTTATTGCCTTCCTCCATCTGTTGGCACCCTATGACTGCATTTGGCCATTGAGAGCATTCTCTTTCAGTGTGAATGCTGGTTCCTATTTTATTAGTAATAACATGAAAGTGAGACAGTGAAGATTTATGTTGGAACTTGTTTGTCAATGAGGTGAGCAGCTTCTTTACTGAGTGGGATAACTTTGCAAAACTAGAAGGATATCTTGTTAACATTTGTGTGTTAGTTATCATATAATGCTACAGAAAGACATAGTTTAAAACTTAATCTGCGCTAACATTTCTTCTGTTACTCTCTCAACAAAACAATGAGTCAGTCTCTGCTTTGTAGCACTTACCAGTTCTTATGAAGTACTATAAATATTCCTCTCACTGGGGCCGGGGAGATGGCTCAGTGGAATAAGTGCTTCCCTGGCAAGCGCAAGGGCATGAGTTCAATCCCAGGTTCCACCAAAAAAAAAAAAAAATTCCTCTCATGAACAATTTCCAGCTGCCGAATTTATGTCACTGAACACAGATTTAGGAATAGATGTGCAGTTACTCATCATTGCAGCTTTTCCATCTTATAGATACCATAGATGTAAGAAACCTCCAAACTTAGAGAGTTGTAAAATACTGTAAATGAGCTAGGAAGTGATCAGTTTGAAAACTAACATTTAATGAAAACATTACTAACAGTAACTCCCACATGTATAAATTATTTTCTTTGTTTTTAATATAATTGATTGTGAGTTTATATGATTAAATGATTTTTGGAATGCAAATTATTTCTCTTTTCCTCTGCTTTATGGAGGTACAATTGATAAATAAAATTGTATAAAATTTAGGTATACTGTGTGAGGACAGGGTACGTATTGTAAAATGATCATCAATTTTAAGTTAGTTAACACACTCATCACATCACATAGTTTTGCTTTTTGTGCCTGTGTGGTAGGAACCTTTAAGATCTCTTGACATGTTTCTTTTTCTTTCTTTCTTTTTTTTCTAGGTTTTGACACATCTATTTATTGCTTAAGCACTTAGTCTAGCTGAATGGAGAGGTGACATGAATCACCTTAGCACTAAACCCCCACATTTTTAGATATTTATTTCAGAAGAAATGAAATCTTGTTAGGTGTTATTATATTAGGAAACATTCATTAAAATGTCTTAATAAGTAGTTAATGTGTTTAAAGACACGTTGAGATGGTCTTATGGGCTAGAGTATCAACAACTTCTCATTTTTCTGAGTTTCTGTCCCAAGGTTATAGATGTTTACAGAATTACTCATACAAACTCACAGGCATTGGAATGAACTATTTTTTAAAGTATGAGTACAATGGACTGCAATTATAAACACAGGCTTGTTCATCTGTAGACAGCAGGAGAAACAGTGAACGTTTCACCTTTTTGGCTGGTAGATGTTCCCCAGGATTTAATAATTTGGATTATTTTCAAGCTAGAGACTTTGCGCATTTATTGGCTTTCTTAGAATTGTTTCCAGAGATATTAGGTAGGTAATGTTACCAGGCTAGTAGTATCAATTGAAATATGATATTGACAGGATAGTTTAATTTAATTGTTGCATATGAACTGAGAACTGATAGGAAAGCTGATTTTGCATATGGATTATACTAGGCTTGGTTTCTTGTGGCAAAACTTAAGAAGAGATATAAGTCAATGTCTTTCCATGGCCAAAGGTCTAGAGGGGGCTCAGATGGCAGCTTTAGGGGGATTGGGAACTCTGCTCCTGCTATCGACATATTTCAAGAATGCAATTTGCTATTGTTAACTACAGTCATCATTTTTTACATTAGGTCCCCAGAACTTAACTGAAAGTTTGATTTAGTTCTTAGTAATGGCTGTGCTTAACAATCAACCCACAAAACTCATCGAAATTCAACAATCCGCTCTTGTGAGCTGGCATGAGCTGGCTCCAGCACGCCACTGCCTCCAGAAGTGTGAGGACTATAGGTGTGAGACTCTCTGGAGAGAGGGAGGGTTGCCCAGAGACCGAGTCCCAGGAGACAGAGGCGAGAACCTGGGGCTGGGGCAGAACTAGAAGGCTTTCTGGAGGAGCTGGGCCCAAAGCTGAGCCTGGGAGCCTCAGGACAAGGCCACTGGGCAAAGGGCAAGTAGTCAAAGTGAAGGTGAGGGTGAGGGGTAGGAGAGGGTGGGAGGAGGCAAGTAGATCAGTTTACAGAGAACGTGCTCACACCTTACACTTGAATTGTTTTTGTTTCATTATAGGTCATCTTGCATGATGTTCTGAAGTTCTTGTTTGTATATATCGTGTTCTTACTTGGATTTGGCGTAGGTAATTGATTCATTACTAACAGTAACTCCCACATGTATAAAGCACTTTATGTAGATGTTGTAATTACCAGTCACACAGCAGCCTCAGCTTTATCAGCTAGCACTGGGACACCTGCATGTTAGTGTTTTCCAGGCTGTATCTTTTTACTTCTCCCATGACTTGATCAACGGGGGAATCATCACCTCTGATCCCAAGGCAGCTGAGGCACAAAACCAGGCCCATCCTTCTTACTCATCCTCACTGTGTCACCTGTCCACACTGTCATACTCATTGTCCCCTGTGACCCTCACAACCCAAGACAGGCTAGGCAGGAGTTTTAAGTCTACTGTACAGATGGGAAAATGAAAGTTTACAGAAATTCAACTGATGGCCTTCAAAAATGGGAGCACAGTAACACATGTAGGAAACTTCTTTTGGCCTTCCATAGCTTGTTATCACCACAATTTGCTTCAGATAACTCTGTGAGAACCTCTGGTTATCCAGGGATGAGGAATGTTGATCCACTTCTTAAAAACTTTCCATCTACAAGGGATAGAATTTCACAACCTTATTTTATTTCTAACTTCTGCATAGAGAGGTTCCCTGGCCTACCCCATAATAGTGTTTTTCTCTCAGTGATCACTGACATTTGAAATTAGTCAGTTGTTACTATCTGCTTAGTATCTTTTTTGGGTTAAAATTTGCTTATTTACTGGCTCCCTCATCTGTTCATCCATGGATCCAAGCATTTGCTCAAACAAATGTAGTTTGTTTGCCTGCTTATGTACCCAGCAATGAACCGCAATTGTGGTATGTTGGAATAAAGACATGAATGAACCTGAGTCTTGCTTCTCCATTACAAAGAGATCCAAGATCTCCCACTCTTGGAGGAGGCAACCCAGTTACAGGGCTCAGGAGCTCA